TCATATCAGTGCTAAAGACAATGTGTGAGGCATGACAAGACTGATTTTGAGGTTCCATTATTAAAACAAGACTTCAGAGACTGTTACGTAATGGAAAAATGCTTCAGCTTCAAAATTGCCATCGCTTAATCTGTTTAATCAGCCGGTTTCTCTGAGAGGATTGAAAGCAGCTGGGGCTAAATTAGGCCAAGATGTGCTGAGATGTGATAATATGACTGAGATTGTGACTGTTGATCATCAAACAGGTTTGCCAGTTAGCTGCTTCAAATTCTGATATTGTTTGATTTATGTTTATTAATTCTTTACTTCGTTCAAATGGAGGAAATAGTGAGAAAGTTTATGCACCGATTATTTTCCCATCCTAAATTGAAAGGGGGAAGAAGAATTGTATCATTGTGTAATCATGTATAATGAAAAAAAAAAATTTATCCAATTGCAGCCAAAATTCGGCTCTTTATTTCTTTTCGATAATGTGAACATTTAAAAAAATATTTTTATAATTAAATAAATAAAAATAATGTAATTAATAAAAATATACAGTATGATTTAAATTTATATGTTTATTATAAAATTATTTAATTAAGATATATATCACAAGTAAAATAATTATTAAGTTATATTATATTGTTATTCAACAAAGAATATATATTATTTCTATATGTTATATGTATTGAAAGAAAATATTTAACTTAAACAATATAAACAATGTGTCACATATATAAACAATGTGTCACATACTCAACAAGTAGATAATTATTATCCTCTGTTTTGTAGCACATGGTGGCAGCCAACATGCCCTAATTAACTATAAGAGATTTGAACTCACTCTATATATATATATATACACACACACACACATATATAAAATATATATGATATGTATATATTATATGTGGTTCAAAGCAGTTAATTTGGGTAATTTCTTGTCAGTTTTCTGCTTTTTTATTTTTTTTTTTTTGGGAGGGACAAATCTTCTGCAGGAATTTTTTATTTTCAAATATTTAATATTTATCATATCAACTTCCAAAATTTGAAAAGATATTTAAAGAGTCTCAATCTTACTCGTACTTAGAAGTACGATTAGAATATACTTTTTAATATAGACATAGACGATTTATTTATGTGGTCCAATTTTAAATGCCCATTAATATAGGACCCAATTGATTATATAATATAATATTCTTTAAAATTACAATAAAAAAAATATTTTTTTAAAATTATTATATAATGATTATTGCTAATTTAAAATTTAAAAAAAAAATACGTAACTCATAAAATCTTATATATTATGTTTTTTATATAATAAATAATTAAAATTTAATAATAAAATATAGATACAACATATAAAAATATATATATATATATATTGGGAAATCAAAAATTATTTTTACCGTATCAATAATTTTAACCAGAAAATGTGGGGGAAAAAAAAAAGAAAGAAATTTAAGGTGATAATAATTGTGTATTATAACTTATTCAGTAAAACAAAACACCGAATTCTGACGTGGCACAAGTTGGGCCTCTGGGGGAAAATTCACGAACGACTGAAATAATAAGGTGCAATTTTGAAAAGATATCGGGGCAAAATTGTAAATAAGTAAAATACGTGTATAGAATCCTTTTTTTTTATTATTATTATTTTAAATTCATGCACGATAACCAGGTGTTTGTTTCCCTTCTCTCCCTCAATCTGTTCCCCCTCCCC